AGACAGATACCAGGCCCCTGCCAAGTGGTAGATCTCAACACTGCCATGTTTGATGGCGCAGAAACTGAAACCTTAATTGGTAATAAATCGTGAAATAGAAAATGTATTTCTCCCCCATGGCTTGGCTTACCCAACCTAGACACCCACGAAAACAGGACTAAAAAACAGTCTACTTCATTCTTGAGTAAACAAATCCCCATGTAACTGGCACCTAGGAGACATCCAACAAATACCTGATTAGATAAAAACTAAGAAATTAAAATAACAGTAACTACTTCCTCACTCAGCTTCCCCAAAGCAGCCGCCAAAAGCACCAGTGTGCCCTCTGAGGCCCCAACCCTAAGCAGCTCTGGCCTCCACCTGTGCCCCTTAAATGCCGTCTCCAATCAACTCTGATGCTCACAACACCTAGGAGCTAACAAACAGTAAACAAAAGGCTGCCCCATTCCAAAAAAGGAACGGACCACTGTGGTTACAATAAAATGCAGCAGGAAAAAGGCATCTAACTGATCGGGCCAACTGGGTCTAATGGGTCACCTTCACTGTGACAGTTAAATACAAGAAAACACAAGTAAAATCCCATTATAACAAGTGGCATTACAAACATGCTACAGTGCTCATTTAATGTCTGCATTCCAGCAGGCAGCCTATGGTCTGCCAAACTAGCACTCCTGTCAACAGCTGGTTCCCATACACTTATCACAGCAAAAATGCTCAATTAGCAAGCACAGTCCACAAGCCCCCTTCATGTACCAGCTGGGCGTTAGGTTTGAGAATGCAGGCCCCTTTCATTGTCCTTAGAAAGACAAGAGAAATAGTCAGCTAAATCATTTTCTAACCCTTTTTCTCTTTGTTTCGATGCCCTTTATCTCCCACCTTAAATACAGACACCTCAAAAAAACCCCTCAGACTCCCAACATAGCCACACAAACATGGCAGGAAAGAAAGCTAAGGGGAGCAGAGGGTGGGAGCCGGCTAAGCGGGGAGCCCGGCGCCCTCCGCCCTGCTGGGTGCAAGCCCGCGTCTCCCCCGATAATCCATGCACACGGCGGGCGCGTTTGTTACCCTCCAGAAAAGGACGGTTCCTGGGAATGCCTACGTGTTAGCAAGACACCAACGCAACCCAGCGAGGTCACGGCATGGCGTGGCGTGGCATTTCCTTACAAGGATTTTTTTGTTTCGGTTTCATTTTCTGTCCACCAATGAGCACATCAAGCCAACGCTCGGGTGGCATTTTCAGGGGACCCTCCACCAAGCGCTGGCTCTGACCTGCTTGTTGCTCCCAGCCTTAATCTACAGTCTGTCCTGCCAGCTGGAAAGGCAACCAGGAGCTCTTCTCTCCTCCTCCGGGGAAAGAAGCGAACCCGCCCATTGCTTGCGGGCACCATCTGTCCTTCCCCAGGATGGGGTGGGCCACAGGAAGGGGATGCTGAGGACGACCCAGGGCTAAGGACTTGTATCTCTTGTTCTTTCGACTGATGCACCAGAACACCAAAGCCCTGGTACCAAATGGCTGGGGACTGGGCTGCTTGTTTGGGGACCGTCTCGGCTACTTATGCCGCGTTACGCCGCCGCAGAGCTCACTAAGTCATCGCCTCCTGCAAGCGGTTTGTCGCTGCAGGCCACTGTGCCCGTCCGTTCCCAATACGCCGCCTGGGACTGTTCCCTGTTTTCCAGGGAAGGGTCAGGGAGTTCCAAAGCGTCACCTGCCGGAATACAGAGATGGCATCAGGAAGTCTCCCCTGTCCCGGGAAACTGACACCAGGTACAGAACCTCTGGCAGCAAGACTGACCAGAGTTTCCACGTGGGGCCTGCATCCAGCCCGACGTGTGCGCTGCTGGCTTCCGTCTTAGCCACCCGGCGAGTCTCTTCCAGAAGGTACGAAATAAATATCAAAAGGCGTTATCTGTGTCTTTTCCAAAAGCAACACTCCTACCCACACAAGGCCAACCCCTCGGCGTCCGCCCAACCTGGGCCGCGGCTGTCCCTGGCGTGCCCACAGGTGGGCGCCGGTCACTTGGCCCGGGCCTCCTGCAGGAGGGGCAGCCTGCGGGTGGGGGGCCCGTCCGACCACGCGGGGAGCTCGTGCTGCAGCGGAGTCCGCCTGGGGTAGAACGTGTGGCTCACGTCGTAGTTCAACAGGCAGCTCAGGGACGCCATGTAGATGTCGGCAAACCGCGACAGGCGCCGCAGGAAGTAGGTGGGGTTCTGGTCGGTGCGGAACAAGCTTCCGAAATGGGCGTTGAAGAAGCCTTTGGTCATTTCCCTGAGGAGGCAAGAAGAGAGGGCGCGGCAGAGAATGAGTCCAAGGGCCTGTCTACAGTCACCGAGATCAAAATCACCTTCTCACTTTCGCAGGACTCATCTGGGAGGAAAATCAGCCTAGAAGCAGCCCCCACTTCTAATGAGGACACAGTCTGTCTGTCCATCCATCCAAACGACACTTCCTACTGGGGCCTCTGGAGAGGCTCCCGTTTCCAGGTGTTTGCCCCCCTAACTGCACCCCATTCTCAAACAAAAGCAGAGACGCAGATGCTGCCTCTGAAGGCACAGAGAGATGTGGAATGTTCCAGAGTCTCCACACGTCCCTCCTCTACAGAGTGGGAACAGGACACACACACCCTTTTATAAGGCTACAGCAGAAACCGAGTAAGGTAAGAAAAATAAAAGCATATTGTAAACTCTGAAGCGCTTTGGTATCTGAGAAATGAAGGGTTATTTTATAACGATGTAAATAAACCTCCGCCATCCATTACTCGGCTTCGAGCACCTCACTGCCTCCTGGAAGCCGAGGTGACAGCATTTTGAAAGGCTGTTCACCCCACCCCAGGCGCTCAGCCCCTGCACGTGTGCACACGGGCATCTGCATGTAAATCAACACCCCATCACAGGTGCACAGAACACGGCTGGCACCCCTGGACACAGAATATTCCAGCAAAATGTTAACTACCATTTGACTGTTAATCAGTGGCAAGCACAGCAAAAAATATAATCATCTACACAATTGTGTGATAAAAGCCACGAGTTGGTAGCAAGTTGGTCATCATATGGTGACAGTGGATGTTGATGACCAAAAAGTAGGAAATTAAAAGAACTCTATTAGGTCTGTGGGTGGAGCGACGTAAATGGTATTTAAACTTTTACTAAAAAGTCTCATTGAGATGTGAAATTGTTAGAAACTTGAAATCAAAACAAAAATCTCTGGCGGGTGAAATGGTTCCTTTATCTAGTGATCTGAGGTCCCTGGAGTGCAGGACCCAGGCATGGCCTTCAAGGGCAAGGGGCCCACAGTCAAATCTCATTACATGCCCATCACCCTCTCACCCAACACTTTTATACCAATGTTAGAGTGATAGTCAAGTTAGAATAAGCCCCTGACAGACAAGACCCTGGGAGGGAGGGGTCAATACTGCCAGGCTTCTGCAGCCCAGGGGAGGGGCTCTGTCCCCTCTCCATGCCCTGTCCCCAAGTCAAGCTGTCCACTGCTCGGAGGCCAGAACCAATGACCACTCCTTCCAAACCTTAGAGACAGCTGAGCCCAGGGCAGTGGAGGCCAAGCACACGAGCAGAAATACCCTGTAAACAGTGTCCGCATAACAGCATCCTCGCAGGGAAGCCTGACAGTCCAGGGGCCTCTTGAACAATGTTCCCTTAAGACGCACACCCGCCAAACTTCTCTGGTAGCAGGCGGGCATTCACCAGTCAACACAATGACACTGAGTGCAGCACATTCCTAAAACAGCGTGGTTACAAGCAAGCACCAGCGCTGGACGAGCCCCAGAAATTCACTCTGGGGCAGGGCCCGCCTCCTGCAATACTGTCTCAGGAGCCACACTGTGCGCGGCCAGCACCACCACCATGTGGGCCCCGGCTGCCCAAATGGGAAAGCCAAGCAGGCAGGGATGGAAGGCAGGCTCCTTCTCCCGGGGCCTTCACATCAGATGGGGCCTGGCAGGGACTGTGGAACCAAGATATGTTGTGAATGTCTGTTTAGGTGAGAAATAAGAGCACGTTCGTTTGATTCTTAAAAAAGAAACAAACTAAGGGCAGGAGGTGTGAGGGAGGTCACTGCTGCCTCAAGGAAAAGTCATGCATCACTCACTGGAAGCAGATGGACACTGGGGTGGTCACAGTCATACCTGGGAGTTAAAAAGGGGTGTCTGGAAGTATGCCTGGGGCAGGTACGTGGGCTGAGCAAACGCAGACAGGGTGGCAGATGCCCCACGTTCAAAATGGGTTGCTCTTACCTCATCTCCTTCCTCTCCTTTTTCCACTCCTGCAAAACCAGCTGGGACTCCGCATCTCTGTGCACCTGCAGGACAGAAGCTAATTACTGAGACTTCTGAATGCAAATAAACTCATCAGGTAGTGAGAGTATTTTAATGGGCAGCTTTTCTTGGAGAAATTTTTTTTATATATATATTTTTATTGCTTTCAGGGAGAGAGAGAGAGAAAGTTAAAGCATCAATGATGAGAGTCACTGTTCGGCTGCCTCCTGCACGCCTCCAACTGGGGATCAAGCCCACAACCCAGGCATGTGCCCTGACCAGGAATCGAACCACAATCTCCTGGATCCTAGGTCGATGCTCAACCACTGAGCCAAGCCTGGCTGGGCTCTTGGAGAAATTTTATTCAAGTCTAAGAAACAGGCACTTGCATGAAACAATACGTTTCTTAGACTCCCCAGTCGCAATCTTCCCTTCTTTACCAAAGTAATTTTGAATATCCAACAACAGAAATACGGTTTAACAAATTAAACTGGATATTACAAAGGTATTAAACAAGGCCCCTATTAAACTAGAGATAATAAAGTACTGTTAATGTCTATGTATAAACATAATGCATGTGCATCCACATAAAGTATACATGTGTACTGTACATGTGTGTAATGTACCCGTTACACATATGTGTTACCTACATAAACATATACTTAATACATACTATCTATCACACATATTAGATATATGCATCAACATAAAAATGGCAGGTAAATGGAAATAACAGGTACACCCACTAATTGGAAGCATGTAAAAATATGTGCTATAGTAAGAAATTAACTGGAAATTTTTCTTTAATTTTTGCAAGGGCAGTAGAATTATAATTTGTTTTAAATTGTCTTCCTTAATATTGTATTATCGTTTAAAATGTTTAAGGGAAAAAAATGTCTTTGTAAACAGCAAAAAGGTAGAGCACCTCAACCAGATGGAAAAGCAGAGAATTCGCTGGTTGGGCTGAAATATGAGCAAAAGGCACCAAGGAAACGGCAACTGCCCACAGCAGAATCTCACACGTCCCTCCGCAAGGTCCCTGTGGCTGAACGGAAACACCGGGCCAGTCAGAGGCACACGTGACCGCAGGGGACAGGTGGCTCCCTGCAATTCAGTCACGGGGCAGCCTTAGGACCCAGTGGAAAAGACCAAACAAACAAACCATCTGCTTCTGACGTGGGAGCCAAGGCCCTTCTGTTTACCAGCTCTGCCCAGCTCACCAGCTTGGGTGACAGGCACCCGCTCGGTGCCTCTGCCGCTCAGACAAAACCCTGAGCTTGCGCTTTGGGTAATATTCTTGCCCAACACCACTGCCTGCAGCACCAGGAAGCAGCGACACTGAGTGACCGCTGGCCGTGTTACCGGAGCACGGGAAGACTGGCCCGGCCCTTCTGGGGGGGTTGATGGTTTTGCGAGCATAGTTTAAATTAGCTTCGACATTTTAATCAACAAATTACTCACTACAGAATTTAAACTCTACAAAGTATGTGACTAGATCAAAAATGTGTAGGGTGTCCCAAGTAATTTATGCATATACATATATACGTATATACACGTATTCACATACAAATACATATATATATTCAGGACCTACTATGTGCTGAGCATAGTGCTAGATGCTGATGATATAAAAGAGGACAGGATGGAGGCGTCTGTGTGTCTGTTTGGGAGGGGGGTGCCCAGGTAAGCAGACCACAAAACAATGCGATACCACAGAGAAGAAGTGTCCGTCTGTGGGAGGGAATCCCCCTCCGGCCTCTGCCCACACACCCTTTACCTGGCAGGAGAGAATTCTCTGACTGGTGACCAGAACAAGGACTACCAAAGTTTATCTGTTTACTATCCCTTTTTAAACTAACTGCCACAGGCCGTGTGAGTGCTCCCCTCCACTCCTGCCCCTGGTGGCACCCCCCAACCTAAGGCAGGCTCTACAGGCAAGAAGAGCCAACTTGAGTCTCCGAGTTCGAAGCATTTTCTCCAGGCCAGCTGTTCTAGAATGGAGGGCAGCCAAGGATGAGAGGTCATCTCCCGCAGAGCCCAAGGCTGCTGAAGGGACATGCAAAGGAGGAAAGCCCCAAAGACTGAGGCTAGGGGAGCATCCCCAGAGGAGGGCCACCTGAGCTCTGTGTGCGCCTTAACCCAGCCTCCCCTCGGGCCCTCCCGTCGAAGGCCCACCGAGCACCTGGCCTAGGCTCCCTCCCGCCTGCCCTCCCGTGAACCTGTCCCCATCACCTATCACCCCTTTCATACGATCAACCTCCTCACCTGGATCCATCCCATCAGCATTTAAACATGCTACAGCCCCTCCCGGGGAAAAAACTGCACAGCAGTACCTCGGTTTCTAATGTACTCCGTTCCGGAGACCGTTCGAGTTCTGAAACATTGGAAAACCGAGGGATCCACAGCCGACAGCTGGGCCTCAGGATCTTGCCCTCAGCAGAAGCCGTGTGGCATGTTCGACTTCCGAAGCACGTTCGAAAACCGAAGCACTTCAGTCCGGGTTTACAGCATTCATTAACCTAAATGTTCGTCCACGGAGACGTTCGAAAGCCGAGGTGCCACTGTATTTCCTTCAGCCACCCCCTTTCTCCGGCTCTATTCCCCCTACCAGGCCAAACTTCACAAAACAACATTCTCACGTGTCTGACATCCACTTTAAAATGTTTTGAAGACTCTTAATTAGTTATAATTAACCTTTAAGTGAAGGCATGCACCCCAAGATGGACAGTTAGCATCAGAAAAGACCAACCAGAAGCCCACGCCACAGGCTGATCCCACAGACACGGCAGCCACCGNGGATGGATAGCATCAGAAAAGACCAACCAGAAGCCCACGCCACAGGCTGATCCCACAGACACGGCAGCCACCGTTAGCCCCAATCATGAATCAGCAAACTCCGCTCTCCACGAGCAAAAATGCGGACTGGCTTCATGTACCGCACCTGCCCATCCACACGTGCGTGAGCAGGATATTACAACCAGCCAGCGGCCGGCCATCTGCACCGGGGAGGCCACGTCCAGCCCACCCCCCACTGTTCTATCAGCCCATGAGCTTGAGAATGGGTTTTATTTTTCAAATGGTTGGGGGGAAAATCAAAAGAAGAATTTCATGACACATGAAAATGATACACAATTCAAATTTTAGTGTGCACCAGTGAAGTTGCAGGGACACAGGGACACGCAGCCGTTTGCATGTTGCCTGAGGCTGCTTTGTGCTACGAGCACAGAGCTGACTGAGCAGCTGCGACGAGACCAGAGGGCCCCACAGCCTAACATGCTGACTGTCTGACGGAGAAGTCCGCCAGCCCCTGGGCTACCCGAGGCTCTGACAGGGCCACCCGGAAAGACTGCACAAAATTATCTTTATTCCTTATAGCTAGTTTCTTAAAACCAAAAATTATATACTTGTATTTAATTCATCAGAGAAGAGCCAAGAACCAATGGGGCCGGGGCACATGGAAGCAAGACCAGGGGACATGCGGGTCCCCATGCTCTGCAATGTGAGCACCCTGGAGTGAGGACCTGGCCTGCTACCCCTCGCAGCTCTGCCTGAGCTCACTGCCAGGCACCTCCACACAGGCTGCCAGCTGGGCCAGGCAAGGCAGTTCCCTGGCCACTTCCAAAGCAGGGTGACACGCCATGGGCAGAGACTGTGGGTACGTTAGCCAAGAAAGCGGGCATCTGCGCCCCTTATCCTGAAAGAGCCGGCATTCACACTGAGATTGCTGCAGGCCCGGCCAGCTGAGCCAACCGAGAAAGCAAGGTGCCTCATGAGACTGGAAAGGGGGCTGCAGCCACCACAGAGGGGAATCTGCACTGGCTGGGAAATCACTGTGAAAAATAATACTAACTGCCCCAGCCAGGCAGCTCAGTTGGTTAGAGCATCGTCCCAATATTACCAAAGTTGCAGGTTCAATCTTCAGTCAGGGCACATACAAGAAGCAACCAATGAAAGCATAAATAATGGAACAACAAATTGATGTTTCTCTTTCTCTTTCTCTCTCTCTCTCTCCTTTCTCTCTCTAAAATCAATCAATAACATTTTTTTTTAAAAAAAAGCACTAACTGTCCAAAACTGGCTACATGACTTACAGAAGCCAGCAAACTGTAGGTATTGTCTTCAAAATCAAATGGAGACTGAACGCAGGGACCCTGACTTGCTGTGAGATTTTCCAGTAAGCCGTGGCGCCTAGCCTGAAGTGTTCATTCCACAGGACCCTTCATTTTACAGAAGGGGAAACTGAGGCCCAGAATGGAGAAGACCACTGCAGGCTAAAGGCAGAAGCAGGACTAGGCCCAAAAGGCGGCAGACTCTCGAATCCCACCCCCCTCCCCCCACAAGACACCTCCCAAAGGGGCTACAGTGGGAAAGTGAGCACAACTGAACTCAGGCAGAGGAACATAAACACGGGTCTTTCTCCAAATGGCTTGGGGGCACTGTTAAAGGTCTCTCNAGCTACAGTGGGAAAGTGAGCACAATTGAATTCAGGCAGAGGAACATAAACACGGGTCTTTCTCCAAATGGCTTGGGGGGCACTGTTAAAGGTCTCTCAGGGAAACTGGCAAAATTCTCAGGGGCAAAATAATCTCAGTAGTTATTCTGAAGAGTGACTTATGCCTCCTACTATATAACCACAATTAAACAGAAAATACCTAAAGTAACTCTGACCAATGGACTAGTTTCAGGCTTAAAGAGAAAGGAGAGAAAGAAATCCCAAACCTGCATCTGCTCCAGTAGCCCAGTCAGGGTCTGCAGCCAGGTCATGGTTTGAATATATTGCTCCGTGTTCATGATTCTGAGCTCGGATCGTAGCTCTGGGATGATGGCACCAGTTCGCCAGCCATGCCTCAGGGTCAAGTCCTGATCACAAAGATCACAGAAAGTCGACATCAGTCTCAACAGAACCGAAGTCATACACAACAGGCATTCATTGAATTACTTTTTAATTGTAATGGTTGGTTATTAACCATGCTGAATTCAATGAATTACATTTCATTAAAACCAAGTTAGCCCAAGGCTTTAATTATTTCACCCAAGAAAATTTCTGTTCCAGAAATAACTGCTGTGAGTCACAGTCCTTGCAGAAGCCCAGGGTCTGGAATCATTAACCATGGCCTGTAAAACAACAGTTACGTCAGGGGCAGAAAGAGGCTGGACTGAGATGCTCCTGAAGGTGTTCATTCCATTCATCCACCGAGGGCTGGGAGCAGCCCCTGTGCACCGGGCCTTGCGGGTTATGGGGAACCGTGGACTATCAGACTTGGTATGATCACACCACATAAACACACACGATCACATTTTCCATTCACATAAAGCCTGATGATTTAACAATAGGCCAGACTAGCTGATGTCAACTATGTCCTGGAAAATCTAAAATAGGCAACCATTGTACTAAAAGGCCATTCATTTTCTCATTTGGCAAATATTTTTCAAGTACTATTTGCCAGGCCCTGTTCTACATACTGAGGATAAAACAATGAACAAAAACTGACCCATCTGTGCCCTCATGGGAAATACAAAGAACAAATAAGCAAGTAAATACACAATGTCAAGTGGTCTTTAATAAATTTAAGATTAAAGTCACACAAAGTATCTTTTCCACTCAGAAGAAATGAAACCAGAACTCAATAGCAGGGGGGGAAACTGGAAAATTGACAATTTTGTGGAAATTTAACAACACCCTTAATCAATGGGTCAAAGAAGAGATCACAAGGGAAGTTAGAAAATACCTTGAGACAAATAAAACTGCAAATGAACACACCCAGATTTACAGCTGCTACAGTGTTTATAGCTATAAACACTGACATTAAAATAGATCTCAAATAACTTTATACTTTAGGGAACTAGAAAAACTAAACTGAAATTTAGCAGAACAAAGGAAAAAATAAAGATTACACTAGAGTTTTAGGGGGAAAAAAAAATCAACAAAACCAAGAGCTGCTTCTTCAAAAAAAAATCAACAAAACTGACAAACCTTTATCTTAACTAAGAAAAAACAAAGGAAACTCAATTTAGTAAAATCAGAAATGTAAGTGGTGCCATTACTACTGATTCTACAGAAATAAAAAGGGGTTAAAAAGAGTACTAAGAGCTTCTGTACGTCAACAACTTCTGGATAACCTGGATGAGCCAGACAAATTCCTAGAAACACATAACCTGCCAAGACTGAATCACAAAGAAACAGGAAATCTGAGTGGGTCTCTAATTAGTAGGAGACTGAATTAATAATCAAAAAACCTGCAGCCATAGAACGCCCAGAACCAGATGGCTTCACTAGCGAATTCTACCGAACACTTAAAGATGACTTAGCATCAATCCCTCTCAAACAATTCCAAAACCTGAAGAGAAGGGAACACTTCCTAACTCATTCTGAGGCCGGCACTACCCTGATGCCTCAACCCCCTGGACAGATGGGGTTACACAGGGGGGTGCAGGAGTCACCCGGGAAGAGTGTCAGCACACACAGACACACAGGCGCGGGACTCACCCCCCTCTACCTACAATTGTAGGTTCAACCACAGTTCAAGTCCTGAGATACTCCTCTAGTCATTCCAGGAGGCATGAAAAGCCTCCAAGACTCATTCCAAGGGGCATGAAAAGCCTCCAAGACTCATTCCAAGGGGCATGAAAAGCCTCCAAGACTCATTCCAAGGGGCATGAAAAGCCTCCAAGACTCATTCCAAGGGGCATGAAAAGCCTCCAAGACTCATTCCAAGGGGCATGAAAAGCCTCACTTTCACATAACGGCTACCTCAGTTGTGTGTTGCTGAGGCATTAATAAATGGAAAAGAAAACAACACTGGCATTTATTTCTTATCATTACTTAAATAGAAAGATTTTTCTGATAAACTCTGTATCAACTGCTAACTTCCATCAGGTCCCAAAAAATGTATCTTTTTCATGACTGATCCATCCTGTTCTATAAAATATGAGACATAAAAATAAAAAAAAAATGCGGCCACCTACTCCTCATTTTATGAAAGCACAAAAATGATCTTAACCAAAAGAGAAATTCCTTAATTAGTGGGACTAACACGTCTGTCCCCCAAAGGAGAAATAGGAAAAAAGGTCCTCCTCACCGCCAGGTCGCTGTATATGTGGTCACCAAAATACAACACTTTGGATCCTCTCCATCCAGTGAGCTTCAAAAACTCATATAAATTGCCCTGCAGTAAGGGAAATAGAGATATTATATCCTGTGACAGGCAGAGGCCTGTGTATAACCCAGAGCCCAAAATACCTTTTTTCAAAACTTAAAAAAATTATTTTGATTTTAAAATTTATTTTAAATATCAAAATATAAAGATTAAAGCATCTTAGTAAGAAATCTTTCAGGTCTTCCTTCTACGTCAAATGTACTTTTCAAAAAGGATTCATACCGTATATACCTCTTTGGAACAATCTGTTTGTACTTTACATGCTATGACTGTCTCTCCGGGTCAAATATTAACCTGCCTTGAAACTTCATTCCTGAGAAGTACCACAATTCATTTTACCAATTCCCTCATGTTGGACATTTATTTTGTTATCATTTACTTTATTTCGTAAGTAGCTCCATTCTTATAGCAGGGTTTTAGCTGCTATAATTACCTTAATAATTTTCTTAGGCTAACTTCCTAGTAATGGAATGGCTGTCTCAAAGCTAGTTTTTCAAGGCCTAGAAAATAGACTGAATGCCAAGTCTAGCAGGTTGTTATAAACCCGCCAGGAATGTATCAATATGTTTAAAAAAAAAAAAACTTCAGTAGCAGAGTAACAGTCAGCAAGTCAATCGTTTATGCAAACATTTGCGAGCCTTATATAATACCAAAATATATTACAACTGTAGATAAGACACAGCTTGTCAGGAAATAATTACTAACCTGGGCAAATAACATGCCATGCGATTAAATGTTTCTTAAAGAGACATTTTCAAGCTTTGCTACTAGTATCTTAAATGTTATATACATTGAAAGGTAATGCTTTAAATTTTGCTTGAAGAAACTGTTCATTTCTGAGTTAATTTAGATACTGACTTAAGCTTAAATTTCGCCACCGAGGCATAAGCAGTCCCCCGGGGCAGAGCGCTCTGCACTGCCCGGCCCAGAGTGAGCCTCGGAGAACGTCCGCTGTTACCATCCGCACCGGGCACGCAGAGCAAAGCCACCCACAGGGTAAACCGGGCACGAGATACCTGCTTGTAGATCTGGCCTTTCTGCAACTTGTGGATTTTATCCCAGAGTAAGACACCTTTCTCATTCACCTTTCGGAAAGGCCTAAGGACAGAAACGGGAAACGTTATGACACGTGGTGGCCACGCAGGCTGCCTGCCGTGTGAAACACGACGTGGTCACTCCATGGGAACAGGAGGGGCTGCAAGAGCCTGAGAAGCCCCGAAAACACGTCCACCACATCCCCCGGCCCAGGGCAAGGGCTCCCGAACGGCACCCCCAACCACCCCGCACCCCACGTCCAAGGATGGGTCATGGAGAAAGAGCTCCAGGGGCAGACACAGTTGGAAACACCGTGCACTATACAGTCCCTTTAAAGTTACCGACGGCTGGGAAAGCCTCCTGTAAGGAAACTGGCTTTAACCCAGATTTGCCGGGTTCATTTGACCGTACAGAAAATGTTTGTTTCTGCAAAAAGCAGCCCTGTTTCAAAAAGAAAAGTGGCAAACACTGCCTCAGTACATTTACCCAGCTTTGTACCTGAAATTCGCCACTCTCGATAAAAAACCAACCAGAGGACCAGGCAGACCCTTTTACAATGGAAAATGGAAAAGAAGGGCTCGTTCCGCACCCTGGGGGTGCTGGTCCAAAGGACAAGGCGTTTGCTCGCCTTCAGTTTTTTAAGGTAACACCTATTTGAATTGTTTTTCTGATTAGAAAAATATAAACTCACTGGAAAATGCAAAAAAAATACAATGGAGAAAAGGGAAATCACCCATAATTCTAGTACCCAGGTGTAAACACATTTCAGTCGCTTTTAGTTTTTTTAGTCTGTTATCTTTCTCTTTTGTCATCAGCATAAAATGAGGGTTGTTTGTGTACTCTGGTTCTATCTTTTTCTCTCTACTGTCCTGAGAAATGTCCCACATGATGACATATTCCTCAGACGTCAGGTCTTACAGTCGCTGCTCTCTCTTTTCAAACGCACCATTTTTACGGCTGCATAACATCCCTCATATGGATGTTCCTTTAGGTTGTTGCTGACCTTCCATCACTATAAAATCACACAGGGATGAATACAGGTGGGAGATTATTCAGCTCTTACTCTGCAGTGAGGGGAGCGCTGCGCTGGGCCCCCCACAACACCCCCACAACTCCCTCCCACTCCCAAAATAGTCCAAAGCACTGTTTGGCCTGCTGCTGTGTATAAACCTGACACAGGAGAGGAGGTCCGTGGTGAAAGGAGAGATGAAGCCCCTCTCCTGGCCACACCCCGGAATCTAATAAGAAAACGGTGGAGGGCATTTTATCAACGACAAAGCAGCAAGCCGGTGTTTATAGCTGTTTCTGATCGAAACTCTAGTTTTCCCTTCATTCTCCTGACTTCTCAGTCTCTGCACAAGGTTCTTGGGTTTGTCTGCCTCTTCTTCCAGGAGTCACTGTGACACCTGGAAAACTGGAACTTAGCAGTGCAAAGAGAATTTAATCCATTCAACACTAACTAGCCGGTTCTGACAGTTTGTATCACCCAGCAGACAGGATGGCTTTCTGGTCACCGACGGCAGAGTAGCTTAGAGTGTTTCAGAAATAGTTCATTACTGTACAAATAAGAGTTATTTTTCTAAACCTAGTGCAGTAACTGTCAACACTATTGACATTTGTAGAGGACAACTCCCAGTGAACATGTCTGCCCCACATGTTAAAAGACCTAAGGACCCCTGAGCCCCACTCAGTAAATCCTAAGAGTACACTCGAGTCACCATCACAACCCAAACTCCCCGGCTCCCATTTCCCGAGGCTACCAGAGCAGAAGGACATTCTATAAGTCTTAGTAGAAATGTACTCCACCTGACGCAAAACCTGTGTTGCAAAGAAGTTTTGCAAAATCCAACTGCAATTTTAAAGGTACCATTTAGAGCTCTACATAAAGAGCTCGGTTTGCTGCCGCAGTTCTGTTAGGCTTCGCAATGTGTCTGCATCAAGAGATCTACTATACTATGTGAGGATAAGTTTGCATTTTTCATTGTTATCCATCAGTTTCTTAAAGCTGACCGAAAGGACTGAAGCAGCCCGCGTTGGCCTGAGAACCACTGCGACACGTGTAAGGCGTCTAATCTCACCCTCCTCGTAAGTACTTACGAGACTTAAAAATCAAAGCTTTCATGTCAGATGCTTGTGATTTCCAAGTGGATTTCACGAAGACACACTACATCTTAAGTATTCAAGGCAGCAAATGAGTAAAACCTAGTCGCCTAGACAGGCAGACACTCACCTCCGCTTATCATTAAAGAAGTGTGGCTTCTCCGCCTGAACGATGACCACGTCGAATAGGTCCCTCCAGTCTTTTCCAACGATATACCTCATCCCTTTGTCCCTAAACGACACGTCAGCCAGGTTAGCCTAACATTGAAGGGGTTAACTGTCTTTGCAACTCTCTCCTGCAAATTTCCAACCGTTAAATGCAATAAGAGAAGGCAGCCAGAAGGGAGCCAGGAAACACTTACACAAAGCTACTGGGGCTGTTGGTGATGAGGAACATCTTCTTGCCGTGATCAGCCAGTTTGGCCAGCACCGCGCGGGTCTGCTCAGCGTAGCAGATGTACTTATCTGAGAGCAAAAGAAAAATTCACGCAGAGGTTCAGCACGAGGTCCACTCAATCTGCAAGTGCTTACTGAATGGGGCCTGTGGGCCCAGTGCCGTCCAGGGCACGTGGGGAAAGAGAAACGAGTCTTAAGGGAGCCTAGATCAGGGTGGTCTATCAGTGTCCACTGTATCAGTAGCCAAGCCCCCGCCTCCTTGGTCTATGGGGAGGAAACTAACGGGCTGCAGCTGCCAGCGCCTCTCCTTCTGAGTCAGGATCTTGTCAAGTTCTAAGGCAGAAGAGAGGGAGACGGCTGGGACACGAGGATGCAGGGGGTGCGGGGTCCTTGCATGGCACTCGGAAAGGTGCTAGAGCCTCTGCTCAGCACCTGTGATGGAAGCAAAATGCTTGCACAGTGCCATGGGGAGGGGCCCGCCTGGGACGAGCTTCACGGCAATGCCAGGTACGTACCAATGTCTGCTTCAATGGCTCGGTACATGATCCCTTTGATATGCACGTCTCGAATTGAATCCTGGCAAAAGATATGTTTTCCATCAGTGAGTGTATTGGCCTGAGTAAGAATACAAGTGAAATGGCACTCGTGATAACGTCTGTCATTAGGAGCTTGCAATCCAAGCACTAAATGAAATCTAAAGTCTGGCCCGTTCATCAGAGGTGGCCCCTGTGGGGAAAACTTAAGTTTCCATGGTGATGGTGGCAGTTTTCAGTGCAATGTGCAAAAGGGTCACTGGGAGGAGGTGATCTGTGTGGATAATTCTGAAAAAAGGCCCATATGATAAACCATAATTTATACGCAGTATCATGAACAATGATTCCAGGTCATCTGCGCGAGGGGCATTATTGTATTTTTCATCTTTGCACCCTTCCCTGGATTCCAACAGCAGGCAGAGGCATCTAGAAAAAGAGGCAGAGGCCAACGAGGGATGGACCTGCCTCTCTTCAGTGCTGCCAGTGAGGCGAGAACCATCAGTGGGATGGTGACTGAGGCAGAGATGTGGTCCAGCTCTCGGACATGAGCAGGAGGAAGCAGCCGGCCCTTTGGCAGGCCCAGGGGTGTGGCAGCCTGATGCCTGGCAGATGCCAGAGCACAGTCCCACTCTCAGGTAGCACTGAGCAGGTCCTCTACACAGGTGGCACTCCTGGAGGCACATGGAAATGTTCAGAGCCTATGGCAGGGGACTGGGCTGCAGACAAACTGGGCCATAAGCCTCAGAAAGTTAGTAGGAGATTTCTGTCAAGTATGAGCACCCTGGACTATAAATTCAACCTCAGTCCCCTTCCAGCACAGGCTTGTCTCAATGTCACATCGGCAGAAGGCAATGCTTAAGAAGCAAGCCGGAGCCAAACTTCTCAGCTTGAAATCTAGATTCTGCTATTTACTAGCTGTGTGACCATGGGCAAGTTACTCAACCTCTCTGTGCCTCAATGTAGCTATGAGATGAGAGTGACTATAACAGTATCTTCCTCAAGGCATTATTGTGAGAATTTAATTAGTGCATATGCATAAAGCACTCAGGAAAACAGTGCCTGGAACACAGAAAACTCAGTATGCGTGTTCACTATTGGTGGTCATCACACTAACAGTAAAAACTGAACTTTTAAATAAGCATCTCTACTCATGAGTGCAAGGGGCTACATAAATATAAGTGATTCTTAAAGGTTCTTACAAATGAAGTGTCTGTATACACAAAAGGAGACTAGAAACTAAATATTTAAATTCAGTTCACATAACACTAGACTGATACTGAGAAACTACAATTCATCCTTTAGCTGCCTAAAACCCATGATACAGGGCAGTCAAAATGCTAATTAGTCATAAACATATAATAAAAAATGTTGTAGGATATGAATATGGAGCTTTTAAAAATACATATATTTAAATAAGTATGTGTTATATGTGTAATATATATTTTATATAAATAAACATATTTATAACACATGCTATAAATATATAAGAAATACACATTAGATAAATACATAAATATTTTTAAGTACTGAAAAGTTCAGTTTAAAGAATATATATATAAACACATATGAATGTGAATTAAAATATATAAATAAAAAGCTATATAAATGAGGTGTGTATATATGCATATAAATATTTATATTGATCTGTCTCCCCTCCAAATGGATTTCTGCACAGCTTCTGCAGGGCCTCCAAGGGCCTGTCAGAGACAACCGCCTCCTGTGGGCAGCTGCAGTCCCTGAGGCATGAACCCCAGCCGGCGGCCAGGCTCGGGAATGAGCCTGTACAGGCTGGACCTCAGGCACCACTCGCCCCTTTGGCTGGGTGCCCTGGCGCTGGCCTTTGGTCAGGAAGAATTAAGAAATCCAGGTAACAATACGAGGACCCTCTGCTTTTAACCACAGATGTGACTGATTTCCAGCTCTCCTAACGTAACACCTTACGATTTTCAGGAACGAACTGTAAGAGCTCCCAGGAGAAGGGCTCTTTCACACACCGACCCTACAAAGGGCCCGAAGGACTCTGCTAGCTCCGCAGAAAAGCTGCCAGCGGTGTGAACCCGTGACCCCCCCTCTGCCCACACAACCTTGACGTCTTTGTACAGGTGGACAGGCTCGTAGTCAATGTTGTTCTTCAGAAAGTACTCGTTCACGCAGGACAGCAGGCCCATCTCCGGCAGGGAGAAGATGTCCATGAACTGCTTCATGGTGTTCCCGTGGGAGCTCTGCGGGCAGGGGCAGTCAGGAAGGAAGGCCGACCGAGCTGAGCCAGCAGACCCTCTCCCGAGGGGTTCTGGTCAACCTCTGATCCCTCCCCACGAGGACGGGAAAATCCTAACACTACAAACTAAAAATGTTCGCCGTGTTCTCACCGTCCACGGCCGAGCGGACACCTCACTCCAGGCATAACCAGCACATCCAAGGAGATGCCCCGATTTCCCCGAAAGGCTAACCGCCCTCCCCTTCCACTCCCCTTGTGTTCTGTCCCACTCCCAGCTCACACTCTCATATAGGTTACCACGCGCGGAATGACAGAAAAAGCCGCTTAATGCCTGAGTTTGAGCACCTCACAACCCTATGTGTGAGCCTGAAAAAGGGCCTTTCCAGACACCTGCCACTGCACGTTGAAAATGCAAATTAGACAATGCATTTAATAAGAAGGAAAAATGCGGGGAGCAAAGAGAACCACAAAAGTTAGAAAAGCAGAGGTCTCCCTTCAGGCACAGGTAACCTCCTGCCCTCAACCTCAGGGGAGGCGACAGCCGCTGCCCGGATAGTCCCCAAGGACTCAATCCAGAACATGCGGACGCCTCAGGGAGATGGTGACAAACGGGGGCAGGGGCGAGCAAGGTGTAAAGAGCCTCCGCCAGGTAAGGAGGAAAGGGCCAGGAAAGAACCATGGAAGAACCTAGGGAGCCTGTAACATACCAACCTCTCTCAACCTTGGGTCTCGCAAAACACAGCCCCAAATTTCCCTGTCAGTTCCCTATGAGCAGCCACAGAGCCTAGGAAGCCAAGCTCCTGAACGTGCCAGGCCATGTTCTGAGACGGAAAAAGACAGGCTGTGTTAACTAAATACATTTCTCATTACCTTTCCGTAAAAGTCGCTCATCTGTTCCAGAGGCACGTGGGACCCCTCATACATTTCGATGACTTCGTCGTCAGGGACAACACTGAGGCCTCTGGGAAAAGACAGGAGGCGCAGTTTAAGAGCCCGATCGGCGAGCGCAATGACTGTCACGCCTCTGGCAACTGCTGGGGGTTCTCAAGCAAGGTGTAAGACGCTGGTACAAAGAGGCGAGACGTGCCACCAGTAACTGCTACAAATGACGGGCAAAGCGCTCGCTGCCACTGTTCCTGCTGCTGCCATTCTACCGGCGGTAAGAGCAGAAAGGCACCAGCTCCTATTCCGGGGCACCCAGTATACCCCAGGTAGGAACTCCACATGGTCCTTCCTTAGTTCCCAGCAATCCTAGGAGAAAGGCACTATCATTCGTCCCTTTTCCCAGCAGAGGCAACTGAGGCACAGAAGGTCATGCAGCCTCCCCAAGGTCACCAAGACAGAACGTGGCGGGTCCCAGGGCTTTGCGGCTCTTCAACCACCACGTCACACGGGCCCCTCAACAAGGTACAAGGCCTCATGCCTTACTCTGAGGTGGGGTTTTTTTTAAATGTTTTTAATACATTAAGAAAAGAAAGGCTGGTTCTGTCTCAATCATCCTCGTGCCCTCTGATACTCTACCCTAAGGTCAGGGCCGAGATGGAAAAAGTCATGCATGAGGCTCAGGTGGACTGAACCCCGTGACACCAGGCAGGCCGCGTGGGCACCACCTCCAAGAGGGGTGACCCAAATGCTACGTGACGGTGACGGCGAGTTCCCTGATCTGTGCAGGCCAAGGTAACTCCCCCCATCTGCCTGCCTCTGGAGCTGCAGGAGATTCTGGAAATGAACCCAGCGCCTCCACACGCAGGAAAAAATAACTCTGGAGTCAGCGCGGCCGGATTTCAGCCCCGCCTCTGCCGCCAGCGCCGTGAGCAGATGCTTTTACCCAGGGCTCCATGGTCTCATGTTTCCTCACCTGGCACCCCCCACTCTGCAGTGTAATGGGGGCGACGCCTGCCCTCCACCCGCTTCTCCAGGAGAGAAGGTGCCTGAGAAACAGACACCATGACAGGAGAAGCATCTCGCTCTGCTACAACAGGGAAATAAATTATTCAGCTGAACTTTAGCTAGCGATACAATAGATTAAAATACAGTATCATCTGGCCAATATTAAAATACAGACAAAAATAATTTACTTTTGAAATGTAACTTTAATGAGAATTTAGCCTCTTTCCATTCTCCACCCTCATGTTACTTCTAAAAATATCCCGGTGGATTTATTAATACTTTGTCCCCGATCTTGATTAACTTGTTACAACTACTAGCCTTTGAAAACAAAAGAGGCAATGTACTTCCGTTTATCTTTGAACCAGAAATCAGGTAAGAAGCTGGTACTAAGCCAGACCTCTCTGGACACTGACCTTGGAAAACGGCTCTTGCTAACGCAGCAGCCGTCAGGTGTGCACACCTGTAAGGTTTTAACATTTGGAAAGAAAATACAAAAAAAGTAAAAGGATTCTGCCCAGTGAGTTCTCTGCCTCCGCACTAGGCCCGACCCCGTCCTGCGGAAGCCACTGCAACCTCTAAGCGCGGTCACAGGCACCTGGCCCCATCCGCTGCATCCTTAAGGCCCAGGTAGCCAGGTGCCAGCTCAGAAGTCAGTCTGCTACCACCGCTGACTGCCGGGAAGGCGGCTCTGGCAGACGGCGCACCACGCGGGCGGCTNCAGTCTGCTACCGCCGCTGACTGCCGGGAAGGCGGCTCTGGCAGACGGCGCACCACGCGGGCGGCTGTGACAGGCTCAGGACTGTCACCGCGCTTGAATGCAGCCTAAACTGGCATTGAAAACTACTTTACATGGCCCTGTGTGGTTATGAGAGATACAGAGTCTGCCTAGGGTTCAAATCTCAGCTCCCTTAATTAACTACTAGGGGTACTACCTCGACACGGAATTTAACTCTTTGGGTCTCAGTGTCATTTTAAAACTGGAAACAATAATAGTACCTACCTCCTAGTGTTACTGGGCAGACTAACGAGTTACTTACTATATATGAACAGTAACTGGTATATGGTAGGCACTGCTGGGGTGCGAAATGAGACTGCAGTGGAGAGCAGTTTGCCGGCCCCCCTGCCCAGCGGTACTCATTCCATGGCCCACAACATAAAACTCAACCTGATGCAGAAACTGCAGGTCCCCAAAGCAGGTCTCAGGTGTCAGAAATGAGCAAGGCTGTGGCAGAAGTCTTCTTTCCAGCCATTCACTCATTCATTACCCCTTCTGAGGGGAAAGGGAAGAGAAGTGGCACTTATTTGTGCCTATAGTGCTCTGGGCACTGTTCCAAGCATGCTTTAGTCTGCATGACAAGCCACCCCTAGGGAGGGCACCAGAATCACGTCCATTTGACAGAGGAGCAAACCAAGGCTTTGATAGTCGAGAGCTTGCTCAAGGCCACACATCTAAGTGGTGGGGTCCAAGTTCCCACTCAGGAAGTGTGACTCCAGAGCCCCACACACACACCTCTGCTGCCTCAGGGACACCCCTCTCAGCACTGAGACCATAGTGACCTTCCCAGGACCCAAAGCTGGACACTCCTTCCCCTATAAACGCCTCAGCTGGCTGCTCCTGCCTGGCCCAGTCCATACACCCTAAGACAATGCTCATTTATCTACAGAAGAAACAGGACAATTAGGAGCCACAGAGTCATGTGACCACAGGAGAGCAAAGAAAAAAGCCGTTTCAGGCTGAAGCATGAGGAGAGGCCTCATCATAAGTGAGCCCTGAAGAAAGGTTGGGGGATGAAAGCCTGGTAATTCCAGGGGTCACCACACCGAGGGAGCTTACCCAGAGAGCAAGAGAACCAAGAGATAGGAAGAGTTCTAGCAGCATCATTCTAGCCACACCTGCAACTGGCCCTGTAATGGGCCTTACAATTAGTGACCCAATACTGTGTTTTCATTTAAGCCAGTTTGAGTTGGGTTCCAGTCACATGCAATGAGAGTCTTAACCAACCCAGTCAGTAAAGCAGCTGTGCATGCAAAAAGAGGAAGCTAAGGGTTTGGAGCCTGACAAGAAACCTAAGAGGTGTGGGCTCTAGTCTCTAGACAGTGGGGAGCCATCCTGGATTTCAGAGGAAGACGGGGGGGCTGAGGAAAGTGCTTTAGGTAGGTTGGTTGAACAGTAATGTACAGGATGGACTACTCTGTAGAAAACTGTAATCACCCAGGAGAGAAGGGATAGGGTCTGAGCCAGGGAGCTTACTCCTACCTGTAGACAGTTCCCAGCTGGATGTAATGAAAAGCATCAATCTTCATCAACACTGCCTTCAAAAACATAAACACAGGCACAGGTAAATAATGCGCAGCAACAATTTGCATACTGAATGAGAAGTCCAGACGTAGTTATAAGTCCTATCAACATTAAGTTGTCACAACAGGGAAGCAGTTGTCTGTTCCTGAAAGCGTTGCTTGTTGATTAAAGCAGCGTGCAAGTCACTAAAGAAATGGCCTATCTGCCCGGCCGGGCGTGGCTCAGCGGTTCAGCATCGACCTAGGATCCAGGAGATCGGGGTTCAATTCCCCATCAGGGCACATGCCCGGGTTGTGGGCTGCAGCCAATCAATGGCTCTCATCATTGATGTTTCTGTCTCTCTCTCTCCTTCCCCCTTCCTCTCTCTGAAATCAATATATATTTTTTAAAAAGAAAGAAAGAAATGGCCTATCTGCAGAGAAAGACATGACAACGGGCTCCTCCTCACAGCCCCAACAAGGACTGCTGGAAATAAACAGTAATGTCCCCCATTGCTGATGCATTCATACTTTTCTAATATAGAGTCTCCTGAAAAAGCCTTTATCCAAAGATGTTTTGAAGAGTCTGTAATACCGTCAACAATAAAAATATATTTTTAAAAAAGAATTCAGTTCTGCAGCCCCAAAGAACATGAATTTAAAATAAATTTATGTGTTGAGCAAAGAAATGCACCAAGAGTACAATTTATCCCCGAACGCCGTTAATCAAGGAAAAGATGAGGCTTAAACTTACCCGCTGCACATCATAATGAAGCCCACGAATTGCAAAATTTGGGTCATACTCATACTTCCTGATTTCCACGGGATACTAAGGAAAAATAAAGAAACCGGTTTTAGCTAACAACGTACTAGGTTCAAGGTAGTACGTCCAGACTTGGTCCTTGGACAAGGGCTGAGGTGGCTGATGCACTCCGATGGGAAGCGGGGGTCAGAAGGGACGACTCGCACCGGGTCCCTCTGCTTCTGGACCGAGCGCCTCCTGGCCCCAGAGCCCTCTGCCCAGCCCCGCTCCCTGGGTATCTGCCCAGCAGAGGTGGGGTCTCATCCTTCCAACTTCTCTCATCTTCACTGTCCCCTCCTCCTTCCCTCCACCCCTAGACTCCCAGATCCCTGAGACCCCAGACATACATCTGCTTCTACCTCCCTTAACTCTGTCAAGCATTCATTCAGCTCAATTTGAGCCCCTCCATGTCGCAGCCCTGGAATAGGCCCATTAGCAGGTTTCATGAAGAGACCCAAGCTGAAAACTTCCAAAGGGCCCCTCCAGGTACCTTTCATTACATTTCTCATCTGGACAGCGGGCCACTGCTCACCCCCCGTGGGCTAGAGGGACCCCACAGCTGTCAGTGCAGTGTCCTCCCCACTCAAGCAGAGGGGCCCTTTCTCAGCACGTGGCTCCCCGTTACTGCTCCAACGCTCTGATTCAGAACACGCACGGCTTTGGGGGGGAGCTTAGCTCCCCTGGTATTTCCTGGTTATTAAACCATTCCTCAACCTGTGCAAAACTCCAGGCTCCCTCCTTAGCTAGTCTTTCCCTCCTCCCCGAGTCTCAGGATTAGAACACCGGCTACCCCACTGACAGCACTGATGTATGAGCACCGCAGGCCCTGCCATTCCCATTTCACAGGCGGGACATCAGAGGAACCAGATGAAACAGCCTGGCCTGGGCCACACAGCTGGGGCGTGGTGGGCGGGGAGTCAGGCTCCGGCCTCTGCTCTCCCCACACCCTCGACCCTCAGAGCACAGACCTGAAGGACAGAATGTCTACTCCTGAGTCTAGAGAGGCTGTGTCACCAGGATCTTCCAATCACGATGTAAATAAACTGCTTAAGTAAAAACCTAGGCGCCTACCTTTCTGCAGCTTTACAAACTCTTGCATCCGCAGGGAACACCTCCGAACTACACTTCCTACAATGCCCAAGGGCAGCAAAGATTACAGTCCCTCTTCCTGGGCAGAAATGTGGGTTTACTACACTGAATTTCCAGATTAAAATTCCCAGAATCCTGGAGGAGAAGATAATCCATAGACACGTCATTTTGGAGCCGAAATGTCTCTAAAAAAAGCAGAGCTCTGGAGGCCAGAGCACCACTGGCATGCCTGCCTGGCACAAAAGTTTCAACTACATGGAGCTTATGAAAAATGACATATACAGAGCCATTTCAGATGGAGGTGGAGCCCCCATCCCAGAGGAACTACCTTGCATGTCTTGCTTCTTGAAACTTTGAAATGTTTGACTTGGGCAAGATAACCTTTGGACTGGCCCAAACCAACACTGTCTTCCAAACCAGCCAGGAAAGCAGACCTTCTGACCACAATGACGTAATTTTGGACATTTGTTAGAATCAGTACTACGTACAGCTCAATACAACTAGAGAAACTGAAGCAATAATCAAAGAACTCCCAACAAGTAAAAGTCCTGGACCAGAGGGCTTCACAGATGAATTCTACCAAACATTCAAAGAAGAACTAACACCTGTCTTTCTCAAACTATTCCAAAAAATTCAAAAGGAGGGAAAACTCCCATTTTATGAGGCCAGCATTATCCTAATTCCAAAACCAGATAAAGACACTACAAAGAAAGAAAATTATAGGCCAATATCCCTGATAAACATAGGGATATTGTTCATCAATATCCTCAATAAAATATTAGCAAACCAGATCCAGCAATATATGAAAAAGATCATACACCATGATCAAGTGGGATTTATTCCAGGGATGCAAGGTTGGTACAATACCTGCAAATCAATCAACATGATACACCACATAAACAAAATGAAGAATAAAACCCACATGATCCTATCAATAGATGCAGAAAAAGCAATTGATAAAATCCAGCACCCACTTACGATAAAATCTCTCAGCAAAGTGGGGAGAGAACATACCTCAACGTAATCAAGGCCATATATGACAAACCTACAGCCAACATCATACCCAATAAGCAAAAACTAAAAGTGTTTCCCTGAAGATCAGGAACAAGACAGGGGTGTCCACTTTCACCACTTATTCAAGACAGTATTGGGAGTCCTAGCCACAGCCATCAGACAGAAAGAAAACATAAAAGGTATCCAAACTGGAAAGGAGGAAGTAAAACTGTCATTATTCTCATATGACATGATATTGTACACAGAAAACCCTAAAGACTCCACAAAAAAAGCTACTAGGTCTAATAAATGAATTTGGCAAAGTAGCAGGATACAAAATTAATATTCAGAAATTGGTGGCATTTCTATACACCAATAATGAACTCTCAGAGAAACTAAGAAAACAATCCCATTTACTATTGCAACAAAACAAAACAAAACAAAAAAAAAAATGAAGTACCTAGGAATAAATTTAAGGAAGGAGCATATACTGTGTTCATGGATTGGAAGAATTAGCATCATTAAAATGTCCATACCATCCAAAGCAATGTATAGATTCAACACAATCCCTATCAAAATACCAATGGCATATTTCACAGATCTAGAACAAATATTCCAAACCTTTATATGGAACCAAAAAAGACAACAAATAGACATGGCAATCTTGAGAAAGAAGAACAAAGTTGGACGATCATAATACCTAATATCAAACTATACTACTACAAGGCCATTGTAATCAAAAGAGCCTGGTACTGGCACAAGAACAGGCATATAGATCAATGGAACAGAACAGAGAGCCCAGAAATCAACTCACGCCTATCTGGTCAATTAATATTTGACAAAGGAGTCAAGAACATACAATGGAGTAAAGACAGTCTCTTCAATAAATGGTGTTGGGGAAGCTGTACAGGTACATGCAAAAAAATGAAACCAGGCCACCAACTTTCACCATACACAAAAGTAAACTCAAAATGGATAAAAAGACTTTAATGTAAGTCACGAAACCATAAAAATCCTAGAAGAAAACACAGGCAGTAAAATCTCAGATATCCCACGTAGGAGAATTTTTGCCAATACCTCTCCTAGGGCAAGAGAAACTAAGGAGAAAATAAACAAATGGGATTGCATCAAACTAAAAAGCTTCTGCACAGCAAAAGAAACCATCAATAAAACGAAAAGGAGTCCACTGTATGGGAGAACATATTTGCCAGCAATACATCTGATAAAGGGTTAATTTCCAAAATATACAAAAAACTCATAAGCTCAACAGCAGGAAGACAAACAATCCAATTAAAAAATGGGCGAAGGACCTGAATAGACACTTCTCCAAAGAGAACATACAGATGGTCAAATATACATGAAAAAATGCTCAAAGTCACTAATCATCAGAGAGATGCAAACTAAAACTACAATGAGGTATCACTTCACACCTGTCAGAATGGCTCCCATCAACAAGTCAACAAACAAGTGCTGGCGAGGGTGTGGGGAAAAGGGAAGGGAGCCCTCATGCACTGCTGGTGGGAATGCAGACTGGTGCAGCCACTATGGGAAACAGCATGGCGTTTCCCCAAAAAATTAAAAATGGAACTGCCTTTGACCCAGGGATCCCACTTCTGGGAATATATACTAAGAATTTTGAAACACCAATTTGAAAGAGTATATTCATACTAGCGCTATTTACAATAACCAAGATCTGGAAACGGTCTAAATGCCCATCAGTAGATGAGTGGATAAAAAAGCTGGGGGACATTCACACCATGGAATACTATGCAGCTGTAAAAAAGAAAATCTTACCTTTTTCAACAGTATGGATGAACCTGGGGATTATTATGCTAAGTGAAATAAGACAGGCAGAGAAAGACACATACCATATGATCTTACTTATATGTGGAACCTAATGAGCAAAATAAACTGTCTAACAAAATAGAAACAGAGGCATGGATGCATGGAAGAGACTGACAGCTGTCAGAGGGGAGGAGAGGGGGGACTGGGTGAAAGAAGGTAAAGGGATTAGACGAGGAACATATATGCATAACCCATAGACACAGACCATAATGTGGTGATAGCCAGAAGGAAGGGAGCCAAGGACTAGGTGGAGGTGGGCAAAGGGGGGCAAATGGGGACATCTGTAATAGTGTCAACAATAAAAATAAAGGGGGGAAAAAAGAATTACAGCTTATTATCACCAAGAGAATTTTCTTTCTTCTAGTCATGTAATTATTTCCATTCCCTTTCTCACAAACTCCCCTTGCCTTCACCCCATAATAGAAACACTATTTGGGTTTCTGCCTGAATCAGCGCTTCTCAGTACTGCAATTCTTTGATCTCAAATAAATGCTTGTTGCCTCTCAAAAAAAAAAACTGGGCAACAATCAAGACGCACAGGAAACCTCTTTGCAAGGCTGCATTGCTAGCTTTTTACATCCAAAGGCACACTGGCATGAGAACTTTCCCGGTCCCACCAGGCTAAACCACATACGGCAAGTTTTCAATTCAAGCAGCATGAAGTGCTGACTCAAATGTCACATTTAGGCTCATTTCTCTAACACTTACCGTGTGTGCCAGAAAATCACTGCGTGATATTTCCACTCATGGGCGTTCCCAAGAATTCAGAACACTGAGCACAGTTCTCACACACACACACACACAGAACCCATCACAGGCACCACAGTCCTGCTTCTTCAAGTGAGGCCACGGGACTCCACACAGCCAAAGTCTCCTTTTAACTGAGGAGTGACAAATAAGGGACAGGACAGGGGGAAGGTGTTTAACACATTACTGACAGAGGGGCTTTTACTGAGCCATGTGCCACACTGTTCTAGACACGTTCTGTGACTTAATTTCATTTCTTCCCCCAGCATGAAGGGCACCTCATGTCTGTTCTCCTGTTGAGTAATCTGAGGACAGAGTCAAGGAGCCTGCGCAGGCTCACACAGATAAACAGA